ACTACTACTACTACTACGACTACTACTACTACTACTACTACTACTACTACTACTACTACTAACTACTACTACTACTACTACGACTACTACTACTACTACTACTACTACTACTGCTACTACTACTACTACTATACGACTACTACCACCAAAACGGCGAAGACGACTACTGCGACGACACAAAGACGCTTCCTATTGCTGATGCCAGGCTAGTTCACGCTATTCTCAATATCTTGTTTCATGGTGTCTTGCGACACCAAACCATCGGTTTCTTCTTGCGGCATTACTTATTGTCAATGATGAACGCAGCCTCAATTACTACTACTGCGTTTACTGGTGGTGGTGATGGTGGCAGTAGTAGTCGTAGTAGTGGTAGTAGTAGTAGTAGTAGTAGTAGTAGTAGCAGTAGTAGTAGTAGTAGTAGTCGTCGTCGTCGTCGTAGATGTAGATGTAGATGTAGATGTAGATGTAGATCGGATGCACAGTCGCAGCCAGTCGTGGTCGCGGTCGCAGACACAGCAGAGTAGTAGTCTCCGTCGTCGCCGACAATGACGATGACGACGAAGAAAATCACATTTCCAAAGCCCAAAAACTCGAAACAGACCCGAGGTTTGATTGAGAGAGTTTGGGTCTTGTAACCCTAAACCGCCTAAACCCTAAACCTTAGAGCCCTGAACCCTATAACCCTAAACCCTGTGTTTGAAGTTCTTACGGAGCTTTGGCGGCTCGGGCTCAAGAGCTCAGGCCTTCAGGGTATCGAGTTTCATCTGGTCTTGACGGGGGGGACATCTGAAAACTGACATATGCATACATAAATATATATATATATATATAAATGTATGTATATATACATATGTACAAATTTAGGTATATACATATTCTGTTTTGTTTATTTACTTCTACTTACTGTAACAATGCACTATTCAAATGTCGAGCTTTCTGGGTCAGGCTTCCTTTACTTCTACGGGCCCCCGACAGCCGTGGCAACAGAGCCGAGCGCCGTGCTCTTTGCCCGCAATAGCTTCACGATCGCACGAAAAAAGTAGTTGATGACGAAGCCGTCAATACCTGGGCCATTGGTCGTTTAGGGAAGAGTATATCTAAAACTGATACTGAAATCTGAATGGGAGGAATTGAATAAACATCATCCTCATGATCATAATCAAAATCATAAGAACCCATACTGACAATCATAGTCACAACCATCATCATGCACAGACCAATACTCGCAGCACCAAAGCAAAGGGTAAAGGATGTTGAGTGTGCTCTCAAACCAGCTAGCCCTAAACCCTAAACCCTAAACAATAAAACCCTAGACTCCCTAAGAATCTCCGAAGCGCAAAAGGCAAGGGCAAGTCCGGCGCCCGTAATTCCAGGAGTAAGGCATCCAAGGAGGATTCGGAACTCCAAACTCTCCCTAAGCCCTAAGCCCCAAATCCTAAACCCGAAGCCCTTCATCCTAAACTCTAAGCCCTAAAACCTAAATCCTAAGCCCTAAAACCTAAACCCTAAGCCCTAAACCCGAAGCCCTCCACCCTAAGCCCTTCTCCTAAGCGCCCTACCGATCTCAGGACTCTGAGCACCCGCTGGAGGAAGGCTCCAAAAGACTTAGGCTCCCGGGCTGCGGTCAGGCTACTTGGCATTTCGGTGCGAATGCGATCCGAGAGTTCAGGGTAGGGTTTACGGTTATTTTTTTTTAGTGTGATGACCCTTTCTCTCCGCCTCAGGTCACCCTTTCACCGGGGTTTAGGGTGTCAGGTTGACCTGCCTGGCTACACCCAAAGTTCCCTTGAAACGTAAGACGCCCTCTGCTGCAGAAAGAGACGATGACATGCAGTTCGAACCGTTTAGGGTTTAGGGTTTAGGGTTTAGGGTACCATGACGGAACAGAGTAAACACCTTATAGGGCGTAGGCTTGAGGGTTGAGGCTATGGGCATTTCAAACTAGGATGTACTGCATAGGGCTTAGGATCTCACAAAATCACTTAAAACACATTGAGCGTTCGGCAAGAAACCCGAAACCAACAGCCCCTAAACCCTAAACCTTCAACCCTAAACCCTAAACCGTTAACCCTAAAAGCCCTAAACTCTAAACCCTGAACCCGAAACCAAAAGCCCCCCCCCCCAACCGAGGCCGGTACATCCCGTGTGGTGGATGTCTAGGAGCTTCCAGAAGTATTGGATGGCCTCTGAAAAAAAGAGGGCTCCCGGGGGGTTTAGGGGTTTAGGGATGTTTCGGGTTTAGGGATGTTTCTGGTTTAGGGTTTAGGGTTTAGAGGTTAGGGTTTAGGGATGTTTCGGGTTTAGGGTTTAGGGTTTGGAGTTTAAGGGTTTAGGGATGTTTCGGGTTTAGGGTTTTGGGTTTACGGTTTAGGGTTTGGGGTTTAGGGTTTGGGGTTTAGGGCTTCGGGTTTAGGGTTTAGGGTTCCGCCAACAAGACCCTCATAGTAATCCAATGTACCGGGGTGCTTTTCAAAGACTGTAGTTTTAGTTACCGTGTTAGGATCTATGGGAAATGAGATGGTTTCCTTCTGATGGTAACTTCGAAGCAAGTTCCACAACAAGAACCTAGTATGCTGGCCTGTATATGACCCATGCCGCCATTATACTCAACTCATGACGGGAAACCCTTTTTTCATCAGGACAGTGTCACCATAGCGTGGATTTGTACTGTCGCCCGGCAAAGCTCAAGGCCTGAGGTCCAAGACCCACTTACGGAGTACCTCTCATCCCCAAAGTAAGCATAAAGCGGATCGCTTCAGGGTGTCGGGCCAAAGTGGACCAAAATCGTAGGGTCTAGGGCTGAGGGTTGTGACCCAGAGTCCGAAACAGAAGCCCGAAAGAGCAAGGTGAAACTCACAAACCCACGAGCCCGAAGGACCACGTAGAGGCAGGATCTTAGATCCTCATGTTTCTCTGGTCCTTCTCAGATCTTAGGGGTTGCTGGAATCCTAATTCTCCCTACCATTTGCCCAGATTTAGCATCCTTATGCTCATGTCGTCTTTTGGTGCCCTCACAACATCGAAGCACCAGGCCTGGGGGGTGTTCTTGTTCTCCATGGCCAGGACGAAGTCCAAGAAGGTCTTGTAATCCTCCGAACGTCTGCTTTTCTTCGCTTCTTCCGAGCTTCGTCTATCCTAAAACTCCTCTCGGATGCTCATGTTGTTGTCACTACTGTACTTGTTCGGGTTCTTCTTATTTGTTGTGACCACTGACACAGCTGTCGCTGCCGCTGCCGCTGGCGCTGCCGCTGGGGTTGCTGCTGCTGCTGCTGCTGCTGCTGCTCTGCTGCTGCTGCTGCTGCTGCTGCTGCTGCTGCTGCTGCTGCTGCTGCTGCTGCTGCTGCTGCTGCTGCTGCTGGGGCTTAATCAAATTGGGATCTCTCTCTAGGGGTTCCTCATTTGGAAGACAAGTGCTGAGAATCGAATCGGAAGCCTCCCAAACCAGGTAAGGCTCTGTACAATCAAGGTCGAACCTAAACCCCATCAACCCTTGACCCTGTGCACCGGCTCTAACAACTTCAACCCAAAGCCTTACCCTTAAAACGGTATGAGACCCTGAAACCCGAGCCCGAGCCAAGTGGGATTTCGGGCAGTCCTGTAGCCTTTGCTGGGGAATTGATACAAGGTCGAGGTTTTAAGGATAATGGACGGGGAGCCTTGCATCCTCGACCGAGCCTTTAAAATAAGAATCCTTCAACTTAAGGTTTAGGAATTTAAAGGTTTAGGGCTAAGGGTTGTCAGTGCTCATAGCCCTATAAACAAGAACCCTTCAACTTAAGGTTTAGGAATTTTGATGGTTTAGGGGCTAAGGGCTGTCAGTGCTCATAGCCCTATAAACAAGAACCCTTCAACTTAAGGACTAGGAATTTCAAGGTTTAGGGCTAAGGGCTGTCAGTGCTCATACCATCAAGGGAGCTAGGGCTTGGGGTTTAGGGCCTTGGGGCTCCAGATACCCGAGTCCTTGAATAGGAATCCTGCTTTCAAGGACAACCCTGGATTGAAAAGATTTAGGGGTTCAGGGGTTTAGGGTTTAGGGGTTCAGGGGTTTCGGGTTTTGGGGTGTAGGGGTTTAGAGTTTAGGGGTTTAGGGGTTTAGGGTCTAGGGTGTTTGGAGGTGTAGGGCTTGGGGTTTAGGGTTTACGGGTTTAGGATTTCTACGGGTTTAGGGGTTTAGAGTTTAGGGGTCTAGGGTTTCTAGGGTTTGGGGTTTGGGAATCTCGGGCGGCGCACCATCTCCCGCTCGCCGGTTTCCGCGTCGCGGTAGGTCTGGTACTCCTCGAACACCCTGGCACAGCGCTCCGGTGTGGGGCGGCTTGCAAAACCCTTAAACCTTAAACCGGCCCTAAACCCCAAACCCTACCCCTAAACCCTAAACCTGAAGAAATGCAGTCCGGCACTGCAGACCCTGAAGAGAAAGAAGCCAGGGTCCACCCCGAAGCAAAACCGCTCCGCTGGACTTTGGGCAAGTAGGCGGGGGGGGGGGTCCCAATACAAACCGCAAAGGATAATATCTTTATTTACAGAACCCCGCAACTTTGGGACACCTAATTTTCAGAAACGTCCTTACAAACTCACAATCAGGCCTGCTAAACTACGAAACCTATCACCCCTCTGAACCGCTTGACGACGCCTTAGTAAAACAAAAAAACTTGAAAGCCATGAACATGCAAGGTGGAAGGGGCGGTACTTCCTCCGATAGGACCTTACAAGGAATTCCTACCCGGCTGAATCTAGGGGCATAAAAGCTTTCAACCAGGTATTGGGGAATTTGACTCTGGCAAAAGATCCTATGCCTCGACATTGAGGCGCGGGATTTGTGGATTTGGGCCACTTTTTCGGTATGATCAGCGGATGCCTCTAGTAATTCTTCCCACGCAGCCCTGAATTGAAGTTTCTCCACCAGTTGTAGCAGTCATAACAGCACCTGAACCCTAGCCACTCAACCCTAAAAGCCTATAAAAGCCTAAGGCCTCAGCAACAAGCAACGACAATCTCAGGTCCGGCAAGCTCTTCGAAATTATCTGCCCGCCGGCCTGTCGACGAAAACGTCCGTCAGCATTCCACTGCCAAAGCGGCTAAGCTCCGTTTTGCTGAGCATTCCGTTCCTCGGACAGAGCGACTGATTCAGGGGAGTAAGGCTAAAGTGCCCTAAACCCTAAACCCTAAGCCAGCCCTAAACCCTAAACCCTAAACCCTAAAGGCTTTGGATGCTTGCAGCGGGTCTGGAGTTCAGTTTACCGGGCAAGGGTCTTTCCTCGAGGTTCAAGAGGTCGGTGGACGTAGCTCTGAAATGCCTGGGGTACATGGGTATTTCTATAAATTAGGGTCTCTTTTAGGGTCCTTTTTATAATGCTGTAATATATTGGGGACCTAAAAAGGGACCCTAATTTAGAGAACTACCCACATGCTCCAGGAGCCCTACAGACAGCATTTGAGGACGCAGGAAGTCGGTTCGAGATCGCGTTTTGATTCGGGTAACAGGCCCCCTAAGGGTCCATATATACTACCATTATGGAATTAGGCCCCCAACAACCCTAATATGAATGGTCTTTTGGGACCTAATTCCGTAATGGTAGTATATATGGACCCTCTGAGGCCCTTAGGATTCTTCTAACTCTGTTAGGCACTAAACCCTAAACCCTAAACCCTAAACCCTAAACCCTAAACCCTAAACCCTAAACCTAAACTCTGTTGGGCCCGGACCGGGAGCTTCCAAGATAAGCACAAGAAGGATTGCAAACCAGGGGTTTTCTAAGGTTGAACCCATGGGCCCCTAACATGGGCCCTTAGGGGATTCTAGGGTCCGTTAAGGGTATATATAGGGTATATGTTAGGTACATTAGGGTCCCAGGGTTAAGGGCCCATACTAGGGGCCCATGGGTTCTACCTTAGAGGTTTAGGGTTTAGGCTTTTCTTTTTGAGGTTCAGGTTTAGGGGTTTATGGGCTTTTCTTTTGAGGGGTTCAGGGTTTAGGGGTTTATGGTTTTAGGGTTTAGGGTTCAGGGTTTAGGGGTTTAGGGTTTAGGGTTTTGGGGTCTGAGGCTGACGGAACGCAGAAGATGCAAGCCGGCAACCAGCACCTCAAGACTCTAAACCCTACACCCTAAACCCTAAACCCTAGACCCTAAACCCTAAACCCTAAACCCTGAACCCTAAACCCTAAACCCTAAACCCTAAACCGACTCGGAATTGTCTACTGAGCGCCCGGCTGGTCGACATCCAGGAAGAGGTAGGCCCCATACACCTGTCACAAGCACTACTAGACCCTAAATCCCTAAACCCTAAACCCTAAACCCCTAGACCCTAAACCCAAAACCCCTATAGACCCTAAACCCTAAACCCTAAACCCTACATACCCATCTTGTTCGCAGTTCTCACTCCCCTCCCGAGCCCTGAATAAACCCTGAAACCCAAAAGCAGCTCTGCGAGGAAGACCTTCAAAGGCAGCCTACCTACAAAGGCCAACATCCTTCAGCACCCTTAAAGGAGCCCCAAAAAAAGAATCCCCAAACCCTAAACCCTAAGAGCCCTAAATCCCCTTAAAGGCGGGAGCCCTTTCAGGATGCTCCCTACTTACAAGGATCATGGGACTTAGTAACTGGGGTTATACATAAGGTAACTATAACTATAACCCCGATTAGGGTACTTATAACCTTACNNGTCCCATGATCCTCCAAGTACCCCTTTTTTTTGGAAACCCCTTAGCCCGCAGACGCCTTGAGGGCAGACTGCGTGCTGAACCAGTTCAACTCGGCATCTGCCAAGGGCTGCTCTTGTCGTAGCTCGTACCTCCGGTTCAGAGTCTAGGGGTTTAGGGTTT